CCCCCCCCCCCCCCCCCCTTTTTTTTTTTTTTAGGAAACAAAATGAAGCTCCTGCAAATGAAATAAAGAGCAACGTCTTAAAGACTTGTTTTTAAATTAAAAAACCCGATGTGTTGCTGCTGGACTGGCTGAAACAAACTGAATGTAGATGAAGTSTCATCTTCCAGCCCTGCACTTGTTTGGATCAAAACTGGAAACACTTTAATTCTCTCAGCTTTGGTTCGTGAAGACTGAGAATCAGATGTTGGGTCTTTGTGAAAGAACAACAACCTTCCAGCTGCTGAAGTTCTCAGCTTTAACCTGTGGTAGTTCTTACGAGTGGAAACTGTTTACTTTTATTTGTCAGGAGATATAACTTATCCGTCTTGTATAAAATTGTGAATATTGTGGTTCAAACCTGGAGGATTTTATTATTTCTTTTAATTCAAACTAAAATCTTTTGCTTCGACTCAGATTCCGTTCAGGTTAACTAACTCGGACTAGAATTAGAAGTGTTAAATCTAAAAGATGTTTTTATACCATTTTGTTCTTGAACTGGATGTTTTTTGTTTTGTTTTTTTTACATTTTGCACATGTTCAAAACCAGTGTACAGTATTTGTAACTTTTTTTTGTAATTAAAGTATCATGTGAACAAAACTAGTTTCCAATGAGAGAATTGAGCAGGTTTTTGTATCTCACTGGGTTCTGCAGTAACTGTTGAACTCCCTTGTGCAGAAAACCTGGCTGTGGTTGGAGACGTCACCTCCCAGCTGGGGAACCTTCTGGGTGGAGTTAGTGTTCGTGTACTTGTGAGTTTTCTTTAGGCGCTCCGGTTTCCTCCCACAAACCCTAAAGTGAATGGTTGGACGTACCTCGCCTCTCCACTCTCTTTTAGTGTGACTAAGTACAACAAAGTTACTGAAACTCAGCTCATTCATTTAAATTGACTCAGAATATATAAAATAAAATGGATAATATGAGTGTCTGTACAGAGAATTCAACTATTGTGATTCAAAGTAATTAAGATTTTAACTAAATGGTTCCATGGCTCCCAAAAGGCATTAGCTTCTAGCCAGGGGCCCCCCCCCCCCCC